AAAAAAAAAAAAAAAAAAAGTAGCCTGGCCAGGCGTGGCTCAGCTGTTGAGCATCGACCTAGGATCCAGAAGATCACAGTTCAATTCCAGGTTGGGGCACACGCCTGGATTGTGGACTTGATCTCCAGTCGGGGGCGTGCAGGAGGCAGCCGATCAATGACTCTCTCATCATTGATGTTTCAACTCTCTCCCTCTCTCTCTTCCTCTCTCTGAAATCAACAAAGAGATATATATTTTTTAAAAAACATATATGTACATATGTGTATATATATTTTTAATTTGTTTAGTTTTTGCTTTGTCAGGTAGTCAGGAGACCACAGGCATTTCCTGGCAGCAGTGCAGGGATACGGGTGGGCGTGAATGTGGGAAACCTCTTGCTCAAAAAACTCAAAAGATTGAGACAGCCAGCTGGGATCAAATCCTGTGCTCAGTTACCAAAGCCATGTAACAGGAAAAGTTGCTTAACTCCCTGAACCTGTTTCCCCTTCTGTAAAAATCATAGCTACTGTACTGTGATTGAAGCTGTTAATTGTGATTACTGTACAAAACAGCTTTTTACTCTACATGAAAACTCATAAAATAAGGTATGTTATGTCATGATCATCATCAATAACTAACAGAGAGGCCAAGGTAGGTGGGGAACTCTTATTTGACAAACCCTGTTTGTGCAGTGGGTCTGTGAGCAGCCCCAGAGGAGCTGAGGGCGTGGTGACAGGCATGACAACCTGCACCAGGCCTCCAGGCACATCTGAGTGGCAGCCTCTGGCGAGGCTCTTCCGCATCCTCAACTTTCTCAAACAGACAGAAAACAGGACATTCATCTCTGACACATTCACCAAGTAAGATTCTAGACCTGGTGCACAGGTACATCAACACCAACCGATACAGAATTTCCCCTGAAAACCTGAAACAATCTCCATTCCACTGTGTAGCAACATTCCTCCAAGCCCCCCACTTCCATCCTCTGCCCTAAATGCCCCCTCATGCACGCAATGCATGAACCTGGACAGCCTGCCTCCCAGTGGGTGGCTGAGGCTGCAGCTCTGAGCCGGAGCCAGGATCCCCAGCCCCTTCACCAGCTGGGCCCCCAAGACACAGCTGCTGACATGCTTCCCCACTCCCACACAACCACATTGGCACAGAGGGGAACCTGAGGCTCACACACCTGCAGCAGCTTATCCAGAGCCTTTAATTACTGCCAAAAGTCTTGGCTGAAGGCCTTGGAGGCTCAGGTGTCTACAGAATGAACTATGCAGCTACGAGGGGCATCCATAACGGAAGCCAGGGTCTGTCCTAATCAAGTAACTCTTAGCACAGGCTTGGCAGCCCAGGATGTCAATTCTGAGTTAAGTTGGCTCTGCAGTTGTTCTGGTGGGATGCCTCTCAGGTTCTCCACCCGTAAACGGGGATGCAGTTAGTCCACCAATCAAAAGTTCACACCTTAAAAAGGGAACAGTCGTTAAGTCAACAGACAGGAACATTTCATCCAACTATCAAGGGCTGAGGTATGGTCCAGGGCTGGACAGCGAACTAGAGGCCAAGACAATGCGTTCTAAGCCTGGCTCTGCTATATCCTACCTGGGCGACCTTGGACAAAGTCCCTTTAGCTCTGTAGTCTGAGTTTCTTCATCGATAAAATGTGGGCTGGGGACTAGCTACTGTTTCAGGTTCCTTCAGCTTCAAATGCTTGCTTCTGGGAGTCTCCCCACAGCTGTCAATGCCTGATAAAACAGCCAAACACCGCTGATGGCGAAGTCGCGGGGCTCCAGGCCCTACCCTGCGGGTCGGTTCCGCACACACGCGGGAAGACCCCCGCTCCCCTCCTGGGTCCCCTCCTGCCCGCGCAAAGCAGTACCCAGGGCCCGGTGACGGACTGGGAGCGAAGCAGGTCCCAGCCGGGAGGGAAGAGCCAGTGTCCCAGTCCCCACGCCTCCGAGCCCCACGTGCGCTGCTCCTTTAAATGCTCCGGCCCTTTAACAGCTCGCACCGCGCCCACCTCAGCGGGGAGTCGGGCGGCGGCCCAGACCCAGCCCCGCAGAAGGCCCGAGGCCTCGCCCCGAGCTCCTCTCCGCCGCGAGTTCCGGGCCGG